GGGGAGGGGGGATCTTTCCAGGGGCGTCTCGTACCTTTGCGAGGCGGCGCAGCTGGGGTAGAGGTGCCTTGCCGTGCCGGGCCCTCGCGACACGGCGCCGGGCGAGGCGCGTTGCCGCGCAGAGATGCCGGTCTCGCGCCTCTCGCGCCTCTCGCGCCTCTCGGCCGCGGGGGTTCGTAGAGTGCGCCAGGCAGCGTAGAGGACGGGGGAGCCGGCGCGAGCAGCACTGCTCAACGTTTCGTCGGCTCCCCGTTTTGTGGAGAGAGAGAGAGAGAGAGGGCTCTCCCCGCGAGAGGGTGAGAAGCAACGCGTCGTGTGTGTCGAGAGACAGAGAGGCGGATCTGCGATCTCATCAGGATGGTCACAGGTCAGAGGCCGTGAGACGTGAGAGGCGGCGCAACTTTTATTCTGCTTAGGATCGCGTGTCGTATATAGCACACACTGTCTGTAATCTGTCTGGGCGGCGCCGCGGGCCCTCTCCCGACTCCCGTTCTCTTTTCGATCTCTCGGCCCGATGCTCTCGGCAGCCGTATCACAAGCGAGTTCGACAAGGATCTCGCCGAAAACTCGAACCCGAAACGAAACGCGCTCTACGCCAAACTACGGTCGCGGCGGATCGGTCATCGCATATCGGTTTGCGTTTGGACTTTGGTTCGCGAGAAAGCGGTGGAGTGAAGGGATAGGGTTCAACCGAAGTTCGCTTCCGAAGAGAACATCCTTTGTGTTTTCTATAATATTTTTAGAGGATCGCGGATCGGCGCCTCAGCGGTGCCCGAGTGCTGTGAAGCCGCCGTCCACGTACAGGGTCTGCCCATTCACGTACGCGCTCGCCGGGCTGCACAGAAACACCGCGGCGCCCGCAAGGTCGGCCGGCGTCGAGTTGCGCGCGGCGATCGAGCGCGCGGCCAGCTGCCGCGCCCTCGGCTCGTCGGCAAAGACCGAGGCGGTGAGCTCCGTCTGGACAAAGCCGGGCGCGATCGCGTTTGACGTGATGCCCTCGTACCCGTGCGCCGGGCTGTACGCCTCGGCCAGGGCGCGGGTCAGGCCGAGCACGCCCGACTTTGCGGCGGCGTACGGCAGCGAGTTTGGGAAGGCGAGAGCACTTTGCAGCGACGCGGTCGTGACGATCCTACACTGGAAGACGGCTTCCAGTCTCGAGGCAGTGTGTCGAGGCAGTGTGTCGAGGCAGTGTCGAGGCAGTTATGAAGTGTCTAGGAAATGCACAGACCCGTCTTCCGCATCTAGGGCGACGGTCCGCCCGTATCCGGCCGCGGCCATCCCCGGGGCGCAGGCTCGGGCCAGAAAGGCGGGCGCCGCGAGCATCAGGTCGAGCGACTGCCTCCAGTGCTCGGCCGTCAGCTCCGCGGCGGGCTGCCGCACGTTCACGCCGGCGTTGTTGAGCAGCAGGACCGGCGGGCCGCCGGCGAGCGCGGCAGCCTGCTCGACGATCGAGTCGGCGGCGTCCAGATCGGCGACGTCGCACGCCAGCGCAAAGCACTTGGCCTCCGCCCCGCTGTCGGCCACGGCGGCGTTGATCCGTGCGGCCGTCGCCTGCAGCGGCTCGAGTCGCCGGCCCGCGATGACGACCCGCGCTCCCGCCTCCGCGAGAGCTTGCGCCAGCGCGGCGCCGATGCCCGTCCCGCCGCCCGAGACCAACGCGACCCGGGACCGGAGGGAGAACAAGTTCGTCGGAGAACAGGCTGCCATTCCGGGCCGCCGGGGCGGTCCCACTGGTTTTGCCTCCCCCTCCCCCCTCCCCCCCCGACCTGGGTTCCAACTTTTTGCGGGGTATGGTATGGTGTGTCGCGGCCCAAAGGGTGGGGGGGTATGGTCCTGACCGCCCAAGACTAGCCCTCGACAGGGGTGGGGGGGTATGGTCCCTCGGCCCCTCCCTCTACTGCCGCCGCCGAGCCCGCAGCGCCATGAGGTAGGTAGGAGCACGCGCCCGTGTCGCGGAGCTGCTGCAGCTGCTCTCCGCGGCGTAGTCGCTCGCAGTCAGTTTATGATTTTTTCCCGAAGATACCGACTGCGACTCGCAAAAAAGGGAAAAAAGACCCTTGGGCTTGTATTATTAACAACGAAGGCGCTCTCAAAAAAGAAAGGAATCTCAGCTGGGACGCGACCAGGCAATTCGCCTTGGCGCGCCTCCGCTACACCGAGGCTATTCGCTTGGGACGCCGCCGCTACACCGAAAGAAGGAAGCCTCCGCCATGGCCCATGCACGCAGCGAGTGTCGTCGACGACGACGCTTCTTGCCAAGACGGCGCCGCGCTGCACGACGCTGCCCTCGCTTTTGACCCGTGGGAGCGAAGGTGCGAATCAGGCCGATGGAGGCGCGAGACCTCGACGAGGCCGCGTCCATCGCCTTTTCTGCCTTCAATGCGTTCAACGAGAGCGTCGGCCTGGCTCCAGAGTTCCCACCTCGCGAGGTTGTCGACGTCCCCAAGTACCTCTATTCGAGCGGGCTGGAGCGCCCAGGCTTTGACGTTTTCGTTGCCGTCGACGAGGAGGGCACGGTGGTAGGTGACCATCGCCTTGTGCGGCGCTTCTCTGCGTGTCTCGCACTCCTCTAGTAGTGGTTTCCGTCTGTCGCTGTTGGATAGGTCTAGTGTGTCGATCGTCGCTCTCCTGGTAGGTGCCAACATGCTCGAGTACCAGGACGGCATCGGCGGCATCGGCGGCATCGGCCCGATCGCGTCCAAGCGTCCCGGCGCTGGCAAACTGCTGATGCAGGCAGTGATGAAGGCGGCCGCTGAGCACCCGGCGTGCGTGCGATCCGGCTGAATGCGGTCATCGCAAACACGCGGAGCTTCTCGCTCTACCTTGGCCTCGGCTTCGAGCCTCGGCGCACGTGTATCGAGTACGTCGGCTCGGGCTGCTGCACCGCCGAGGCCCCGGCGGGCTTTGTCGTCAAGCCGCTCGCCGCGTCGGACGTCGAGGAGTGCTCGGCTCTGCACGAGCAGGTGCGTAGTGGCAAGCAACCTCCGTTCCACGCCCAACCGGCCCACGTCTCCTCTGCACGCGAGCTCACGTCTCCTGAGCACCGAGCAGGTGTGCGCGTCCCGGCGGATGGGAGACATCGGTTCCGCGGTGGGGGGCCCGCATCCGAACGCCGTCGCGCGGGACGAGGCCGGCAAGGTCGTGGGGTATACGACGGGCTCGTACCTCTCTGGGCACACTGTGGCGCTGAGCGAGGAGGCGCTGCAGGCGCTCGTTGTCGCTCAGTCGGCCGCCATCGCAGCGGCGCAAGCGGCTGGAGCGCCGATCCCGCCGCCGACGCTCTTTGTGCCGCATCAGCACTCGGCCTTTGCTCGCTGGCTCGCCAGGAACGGCTTCTTGCTGACGAGGCAGATCGCCTCCATGTCCTATGTGGGCCGCTCGCCGAGCCTGCCGGCTTCTACCTGCCGAGCATTCAGTACTGACACAACGACTCGCGCGCCTCCCTGCTCTGCTCGCAGAGCGCAAACCGCACATGTCCCGTGTTGGCGATGGCATCTGCTTAGCGTCTATATCGGCGTCGCGTTCCACGGTCGATTTACGATTGGTGTGAGGAGAGTGTGTGTTGTGTATACTTCACTCTTTTACTCTGCCGTTCATTATTCATTACAGCTGTGTACAGTGTCACCAAGCGTGAACCGTGATCTCAGTGTGCGGTGTCCCTCTATGCTCTAAAAGCTCCGCGCGGTTAGGGGAACGTTCAAACCACAAACGAAGGACAAGAGCTGAGAGAGGTGAGAAAATGGAACATAATACATCGCATACGTCGTTGAGCATCCACCATCCTTGTGCTGTCTGATGAAGCCTCATTATCTGGCGAGCACACTGCGGACTGGCGTAGGTACACACCCACAGGCCCAAAACTCAGCTTGCGGGCGGCTCGGCGTCACCCACGACGTCGCTGTGTTGCGCCCGCAAAAGCGTATCGCGACGCCTGGCTCGCGTGTGAGGCGCCGGCGGCGCTCGAAGCGCCCGCCGATGCCAGCGCTCGAGGTAGGCCGGCGGCGGTGGCGGCGGGGCTGCCGGCGGCAACGCGCACGAGAATGGGGTGCCGTGGTTGTGCCAATCGCTGATGATGTTGCCGACGGCGCCGAGAGTGCCGTAGGCGACGAGGGCCGCGGAGACGACGACCACGGCTGCACTGCCCGTGTTGCGCGACCGGTTCAGCGGCCACGCAGCCCGCCGATAGAGCAGCGCCGGCAGCAGCAGCGTCAGCGGCGCCTGCGTCGTCCCTCCAATGTCAGTCGGAGATATGGGGAGATATCGGGAGAGAAATGGGGAGATCGCCTGGGTCGTCCCTCCAATGAGCCCAACCAAATCCTGGAAGAACGGGACCGCGTTGGCAACCACCCAAGCCAGCGCCGTCACCGCCGTCGTCAGCAGCAGCCACTCGACGCCGCACGACGGACCCCTGACTCCCTCTCCGCCGCCGCCGCCGCCGCCGCCGCCGCCGCCGCCGCCGTCGCGGGACGCCGCGAGGCTCGAGCAGAGCGCCTGCGAGTTGATGGCGTACGAGACGGCGACGTGCAGCCAGAGCAGGAAACCCGCGAGCCGGCGCGCATTTCCCAGAGGCACCGCGTCCAGCAGCAGGCCGGGCGGCGAGGGGCCACACAGCAGGACCACGGCGAGGTAGATGGCGCCGTACAGCGCGAGAGCGAGCCGCAGCGCCGCGTCCGCCCTCGCCGGCTCGCGCATCTCCGCGCGGATGTTGAGCAGCAGCTTCTGCGACCCCATCGCGAAGATGATGCCCGAGAGTGCCGACCCGACGCGGAGAACGCGCGAGAAGGCGCCGCCGCCGGCCGGCGCGCCGCCGCCCGTCGCCTCGCCGGGCGGCGGTGGCGGAAGCGGCGGCGATGCGCGAGAGGCGGCGACGCAGATGGCGAGCACGCCGACCACGGTGGCGATCGAGAGGAGGGTGGGCAGCTGGCCGAGGTCGCGCATGCGGGGCAGCTGGCTCAGGCCGAGCGCAAGCAGGGTCGCGACGACCGACGCCTGGTAGGCGCAGAGCCCCCCGGCGAGCGCCTGCACGGCGGAGCCCATCACGACGAGGTAGTTGCCGAGCACGAGGAAGAGGTTGAGGTACCACGCGGCGGCCGTCGCCCGAGCGGCGCCCGAGCCGGCGCCGAAGAGCGCGCGCGTCAGCTGCAGGATGTTTGCCGTCGCGCCGCCCTGCTGCGGCCGGGTCCCGTCGTCCACGCGGGTGGCGGCCGCGTTGAGCAGGCCTCCGACGTACGCGTTGACGGGGATCTGCAGCGCGAGGAAGAGCAACCCGAGCGGTCCGAGCAGATCCACCTCCGCGGGGAGGCCGAGGACGCCGGTGCCGACACAGTCAGCGACCAGCAGGAGCGCCGTGCTCACGACGCCCAGACGGCCGTGGCTGTCGTCCGACACCATCGAGGCGCCGGAACAGGTGCTCTCGCTCGCCTCCTCGCTCGCTTCCTCGCCGCGTGTCGTCACCTCGATGCCCGATAGTGGGCCGCGTCCCGTCGAACCCCTCTGGGAAAGTGGGCGCAGCTGGGACATTCGTCCGAGATAGGGACTACCGCGTGCCGCCTCACCGAGGGCGCGGAACGGACCAGCGGGCGCTGTATAGGGAATACGCGTGTCGCCTCACCGAGGACAGGCGGAACAAACTCGCTCACTCCGCCGGAACAAACTCGCTCAGTGCAGGCCAGGCAGGCGATGTCGCTCAGTGCGGGCTCGACACTGGCGAGTAGAGGCACTATTGGTGCTATTGGTGCACCCAGCCTAGTCGACTAATTCACGTTTGCGAGTACGAAAAATGCTGCCCGTGCGAAAAAAAGCTACCATCGCCGCCGCCGCCGTTCTCCTTCTTCCCGCCGCCCGCGCTTCCCTCAGTCGCGCGCGCGGCGCGGCCACCCCCACCGCCACCGCCAGGGCCTCCCTCGCCATCACCACCGGCACCACCCTCGCCGCCGCCACCCCTGCCACCACCGCCCTCGACACCACCGCCCTCGCCGCCGCCGCCCTCCCCACCCTCGCCGTCGCCACCGCCACCTCCCTCGCCGCCACCATCCCCGCCTCCACCGCGACCGCCACCCTCGCCCCTGCCACCGCCACCACCCTTCGAACCACCCTCGCCGCCGCCACCCCCACCGACACCGCCCACGTCACCACCAGCCCCACCGCCGCCGCCATCGCCACCCTCGCCACCGACACCGCCACCACTGTCGCCGCCGCCACCCCCGCCGCCACCGTCCTCGCCACTACCACCCTCGCCGCCGCCGCCCTCGCCACCCTCACCATCGCCACACCGCCACCCCCTTGACCGCCACCCCCACCGCCACCGCCAGGGCCTCCCTCGCCATCGCCACCGGCACCACCCTCGCCGCCGCCACCCCCGCCACCATCGCACTCGCCACCATCGCCCTCGCTGCCGCCGCCCTAGCCATCGCCACCGCCACCACCCTCGCCGCTGCCACCCCCGCCACCGCCCTCGCCACCACCGCCCTCGGCGCCGCAGCCCTCGCCACCCTCGCCGTCACCACCGCCACCTCCGCCTCGCCGCCGCCATCCCTGCCTCCACCGCCATTGCCACCTCTCGCCTCTGCCACCGCCACCACCCTCGCCGCCGCCACCCCCACCGCCGACGCCCTCGCCACTACCACCCTTGCCGCCGCCGCCCTCGGGATCATCATCTCCCTCCTCCTCACCCCACTCGCCCACATCCCCTGATTCCTCTGACTCCCTCTCCCGAGACCTCTCGGTCACGTCACTGAGCGAATCCTCGCAAGCTCCCTGATACCTTTCGAGTTTCGTGCACGCATGCGATCGCGGATCGGTAGTGGGTAGACGGTGTAGAATTCCGGCATGAACCATGGTCGTCACAGGCTCTCATCATGCGATGAGTTCTCGTCTAGTGGTCGTGCAGCAGTTCTCGTGCACTGCGCCGGCCGAAATCGTGCGGCGCGGCGCAGTGTACTGCGATTCGTACGGTATCGATAAAGCTTTACGCAAATAGTATAACAAACCGATGACGTGACTCAGTCGGCAAAACACACAAGTATACAGCGAGAACATTACAGGACATTACTGTCACAGAATTCTACATTGAAGGCGTTCCAAGATGACGCTGGTGCGCTTCTCATGAAAATGACCAGACCCAAAGCTTGCATGCACGAGCACGCGCAGCGACCCTGGCATATACTCAAAACTGCGGTTGTTCCTCAACCTGTGCTACTCCAACTGTGCTGATGTCATCCTTTGGGGAAGCTCACATCAGGTAGTCGCATGAAACCATGATGGAGGTATGGACACGTTTTGGCTTGAGCAGGTCCGGGCAGTTGAAGGCGTTCTTTCTCTCCTTTGGGCCCATGTCCCCACTGAAGTAGCAGTGCGGCGAAGCAACAGCTTGGTCCAGGTCAGCGTCGCGGAGCGCCACAAAGCCCCACCTGGGATCAATCCAGTCATGACCAATGAAGAGCTCGGCATTGTACGACTCAAGGCAAGTGTTTGAGCCCGCATCTTCCCATTTTTTGCACAAGGCTGGATTGCGCTGCAAGGGAGGCTTCTCAGAGGCGCACCACGGCCCTGTACCCGCACCAAAATTTGGGAGGTGGCGCGGAAGCTGGTCAGCCCAGTCCTCGTCCTCAGCGCGCGGCCACCACTGTATGAGGACGTTCTTGTCTTGCCACTGGTGCACGGCGGAGTGCACACGTTCGCCGTTGCACTGATCTGAGTTGCTGTCTGCTTTGGGTGCTGTCCACTGGCCCTGCGACACCACCTCATCCCACACCGCAACATTGAAGTCGAGCCAGCTATACTTGAACTTGAGGTTGTCCCGCAGCTCATTGGCCTTAAAGTTGCCCTCTAGGTCCTCGGCTATGAGGAGGTCACGTGGCCAACACTGCTTCATCTGATCGTACTGAGCGCTGACTGACTGCACCATGGTGTCCATGAGGGTGTCCATCCAGTCGACCTGCGCTGTGAACGCCGAGTTGAAGTCGTCGAGGTTGGACTCGTCCAAAACCACCCCATCCGGCAATGAGCGCTCATACAAGAGGGCGGCGCAGTTCTGCTGCAGCATCATCGCGCGCGACATGGCCATGAGCATGGGCAGCGCCGCGCCCTCAAACCAGAGCTGCAGGTGTTTGTCCGCCATGGCAAGGCGCAGCGCTGAGAACGAAGAGCCCATCAGGGGTGTGATGCCTGGGATCTGTGTGCAAAACTGGTCCCAGCACGTGTGCCGGAAGAGAAACATCATCAGATCGATGGGAGACTGGCCCGGTGCGTTGCACGCCACATGAAGCGAATCCTGGTTAGGCTTGGTTGGGTTCTCGGTGTAGAAGCGATAACGAGTCTCGACGGTATCGAGGAAGCCCATCTGGCGGTCGACCTCGCCACTTACGATGATGTCTTCCAGACGCATGAACCCTGCTGTCATGACGTCAGTAATCTCATCGAGGCGGATGTCGAGTGCTTCGAATGCCTCCTGCATGAACACAAGCTCCTCGCTGGGCGCTGCTGGCAAGAAGAGTGTAACGATCGAGATGACAGCTCCAGCTGCACCAAGGGCGGCACTGAAGTCCTTGAGGGCGTTTCCAAAACTGGCCAAGCTCTCTCCAACCTTTGAGACTGCTTCTGCCGCTTTTGCCGCTTCATTCAAAGGCTTCGCCACCGCACCTGCAACGTTGCCGATCGACTCCACCGCCTTGGAGACGTCACCAAACAGCTTGGACCAATCGCTCGCCGATGAGACGCCCCCGGCCTTCAGAGAGGACACCGAAGTGTCCGCCGCCGCGGTGGTGAGTGCCAAAGAGCTGCCGACCGACGGCTTGGCTGCTGCGCCCGTCAAATTCCCGCCACCACAGACGCAGCACGCAGATTGCGCTCCGGTGTGACCAAAAAGAGAGCAGCGAGTCGAGGTGCCATCCGAAGCGTACCACAGGCAGCTGAATCCGTCTTCATCCGTCCAGGCTTCATCAGATTCTTCGACTTTGCGCTCATGCGGGATGGAACCACTCGTGAAATCCACGCAGTGGCGCCTTTGGTGCAGCGGTGCCTCGCCCTTGATGGACGGGCCACTTGCCTCGAGCTCTTTTGGCTTGACGATGCCCATGTGGCCTCGTATCGGGAACAGCAAGAGAGCGCGCGGCTTGACAGTCGTGTTTGATACGATCTGTGGTGGAACGGTGGCAAGCGCAAGGTAGGCATGGGTGCTGTGCAGTACTATGGATGGTGACTCGCGCACCTTTGCTTCTGTGCGCACGACACTTTTGACGGGCAACGAATGGGTCTCGACGGCGAGCGCAAAGAAGACGACGGCAATGGTGTTGCGCGACTGATGCATCGGCTCACGCGGCGGGGTCCTGCGCACTCGGTGCTTCGGGCTGGCGCTCTGCTGTGCCTTCCTTCCTTATTCCTTGTTCTTGCTGGGTTCATCGGCGTGCCGCCTTCCTTTGACCTTTTCGGGGGAAGGGTAGCCTTCCTTTTTGAAGTAAAGACGGACACGCCGCCCCGCCGAAGCGTCCCCTTGGACCCCAACAACCTTTTCGGGTACCGACGTCGTATCTCTGCGTGGAGTCGATTCTTCTAAACCGCGTTCTTCTTCAGGCCCCTGCTCGAGTGCCTTGCGCGTTGCGCCCCTGGCGTGTGGCTGAGCGACGCCCAGCCGCTGGCGGCAGCCTGAACAGAAGAGCGTCCCCGCGACGCCTCGGTGCCACCCACCGGGTGTGACCATCCGGATCAATCGAGCGCGCCTCCGGCGGGCCGTCCCCGCGATGGCCCACAGTCCTACCGCGAGCGGCGCGCGGCGGTCTCGCGCGGGCCGTGTATACGCGGCGCGCTCACCAGTGTGAAAGATCGCGCTCTAGGCTGGTTGCACCAATACACACACGCACGCGGCGAGTCCAGGCACCTCCCTTTTCTTTGCCCGGGCTCGACAGAGAACCTGGCTCCGCGAAAAGTAAGATATTCGCGGCGTCTTGCCGTGGTCCCTGGGCTGTGCAGGGCACCCCAAGGGTTTTAGGTTCGTTGTTAGCAGATCAAGCCGGCACAGAGCTCACACAAATTCACAGTGGGAGGAAAGCGGCGAGTCGCAATTCCAGGGGTCGTTGTGGCGGGCCACCCTGTCCAGAGAGGCACAGGTGCCAATCTGGGGTCTTTCCGACCGAGTCTATGAGCCCTGGCCGCCTCCTGGTGGTGGCAAGGTTGAGCAACCAAGCGACGGAGCTGGTGCGGGAGAGTACGGTGTTCCAGGGGGTCACGACGAATGAATTCGTCACGACACGCACCGACCCTTCACGAACCGAAAGGCCGTGCCCGGCGTGCAAGGGGCACGGTAATCCGGCACGTGTTTGGCGCCCCAAGGGTGAATGTAAGAAAGGAATTTAACAACCCAACTCTCTCTCACCGACACAGGTTCGACACAGGTACCAAAAGGAGCACAGCAGACGGCAACCCCTTAGAAGGCGCCGTCGAAAAGAAATCCGAGATAGAAAGAGCAGACGCCCAAGGGTGGGCGACGGCTAGCACCACACTCCTCTCCTTAAAATCCCTGTGTGGTGGCGGAGTGCCGTCCTCCTATTCCTCCCTGATTCCTCCCTTGCCTTTGTTTTCTTTCTTTAACAAAAGAAGGCGTCCTATTCACATCTTCCCATCACCCCAGTCGGTCGGTGGCAGACTGGCGGCATCGGATCGGTCGGACCGCAGCTTACCGCTCTTCTTCGTTTTTCAGTGTATGTATGTGGCTCTTACGTACATTCCCGTAGGAGGACTCTGCTGACAGGTTTTTTTTGAGCGGCCGCACGCCCACTGCTGGTGAACCTTCTTTTCTACCAGGCTAGGATTGAGAGCAGCCTCGCTCGCAATCCTAGAAGTCGAAGGATTGTGAGCGACACTCCTCGCAATCGTAGCATCTCTGTACGATTGCTAGCACCTTCACTCGCATAAACAATGGCTAGTTCCATTTCAGTTTTCACTCCAACACGTGGCGGCGCGAGCGAGCCGAACGCATCGTTGTGCCACCGAGTCGACGGCAGAGAGTCGTTTTTGAGTTGGGAGAGGGATTTGCGCGTTGGAGGGAGAACTTCGAGGGTGCCATATAGCTGCGTGATTGTGAGCTGTGTGAGGAGTGAGCTGTGAGTGGGCTACTGGGCATTCCGCGCTCTGAGTGAGAGCCTGTGTATTTCCTCTCGCATCTCGGTGTTTTTGAGAGAAGTTTATGAGACGAGACCCCCAGGCCCAAGACACCGAATCCGAAACGCAAAGCAAAAACGGATGCAAAACATACGCCATGTGCAGAGCTGTGCCAGCCAACGCCCAAATCACCCGACACGTCCGCCGCCGCGTCCACCGCGTCCGCCACGGCCGCCTCGGCCGCCTCGGCCGCCTCGGCCGCCGCGCCCGCCACGCCCGCCGCGCGACTGCTGCGACTGCTGCTGCTGTTGCTGCTGCTGCTGCTGCTGCTGCTGCTGCTGCTGCTGCTGCTGCTGCTGCTCCTGCTGCTGCTGCATCAGCCTCTCCACTGCCCTGACCCTCGCCGCAGCCGCCATGACAGCTGCCTCCCTCTCCCTCACAGCTGCCGCCTCCCTTGCCGCCTGCCTCGGCCGTGCCCGAGAGATGTGGGCGTCGATGTCGGCCCCGCCGCGAGCGCCCGCGGGTTGCGGGCTACGGGCTGCGGTTGGCCCTGCGCGCGCAGGAAGCTGGTGGACGAACGTGGTCTGCGCCGCAACATGCGCTCCGACTGCGGCGATGGGAAGCGCCGGCTGGCGGCAGGCCGGGCAGTTGGTGTCGCGCTCCATCACGCGCGGCGCGCATGTCTCGCAGTACAGCGCGTGGCCGCAAGCGAAGCGCACCGAGCGCGGCGCTGACCAGCACAAGTCGCACTGGCGAGCGTTCCCGCCCGCCTCGGCTACCGCCACCCCTGCGACGTGCGGTGGCGATGTCGCCGTCGCGACGTCCGCCTCCACCAGCGCCTCCAGCCGCAGCAGTGCTTCCGCGAGCGGCATCCGCTTCCGCTTCCGCTCGTACGCCAGCCCGACCACTAGCCGCACCAGCTCCTCGGCCTGCGCCGCCGACCAGCCCGCGTCGGCCGCCGCAATGGCCTCCGCCGTGTCGGGCTCCTCCAGCGCGCCGTCGCACGCGTTGAGCAAGCCGAGAGCGCCGCGGCCGGTCAGGCTGACGAGCAACGTGATGCCGAGCGCAAAGCCGTCGGTGAGCTGCGAAGCCTGACCGTCGTTGAGGACGATCGGGTCGATGTAGCCAGGCTTGCCAAAGATCCGCTGCGTCGACAAGTGCGAGACCTGCCCGGCCGTCGCCTCCGCCGCGCGCGCGAGGCCCACGTCGGCGAGGAATCCATTGCCGCGCTCGTCGAGCAGGATGTTGCCCGCCGAGACGTCGCGGTGCAGGATCATGGGCGAGAGCGTGTGCAGGTAGTGCAGCGCGCTCGCCGCGTCGCGCAAGACGCGGAGCCGTGCGGCGGAGGAGAGCAGCGGAGGCGGCGTCTCGAAGCCGAGCATGCGGAGCCGCTGCAGTGCAGCTGGAGTGCGGTAGATGCGGTCCTCGAGGCTGCCGCCGCGGCAGAGGGGGTAGACGAGGCAAGCTCTCGCCGGTGCCAAGCAGACGCCGAGCAGAGGGAGCAGGGACGGGTGGCACGCCGCGCTGAGCGTGCGCACCTCGCTCTGCAGCTCGGCGAGGCCTTTGGCGCCGACACCGACCAGCGCCGTCTTGACGGCGAACCCGCAAGCGACGCGAGGAAGCGACGGCAGCGCGTCGCAGCGGTAGACGCGCCCGAAGCCGCCCTCGCCCACCTTGCGCGCCTCGGCAAAACCGTCGGTCGCCGCGATGAGCTCGTCGAGAGGGACGGCGGCGGGCGGCGCGGAGGCGGCGGCGAGGGCGGCGACACTCGCCGCCGCCGACGCTGCCGCCGCCGCCGCCGCTGCCGCCGCCTCCGCTGCCGCCGCCTCTTGAGCCTCCGCCGCCGCCACGGCCGCCACTGCCGCCTCTACAGCCGCCGCCTCCGCCGCCGCCGCCGCCGCCGCCTCCGCCGCCGCCGCCGCCTCCGCTTCCGCCCTCTCCCTCGCTTCTTCCCTCTCCCTTGCCGCCTCCTCCCTTGCCTTCGCCTCTGCCTCCTCCCTTGCCCGCGCCGCCGCATCCGCTTCCTCCGATGCCCGCGCCGCCCGCGCCTCCGCAGCTGCCTCAGCCGCCCGCGCCTCGTCAGCCGCCCGCGCCTCCTCCGCCGCCCGCGCCTCCTCCGCCGCCCGCGCCGCCGCCTCCGCCTGCTTCGCCGCCGCCTTCACCTCCTTCTGCCGCTGCCGCTTCAGGGCCTTGGCCTCGCGGGCCTTGCGCTCCGCCAGATCATCGCGCAGCCGCCGCGCAGCCCGCAGCGCCTCGGAGCCGTCGGCGGCTTCGACGTTCGCGTTGATCGCCGCCTTGAGCGCCTCGAGATTGGCGTCGCCTCGGCCGCACGCCTCAACCGCCTCGCGCAGCGCCGCCTCGGCAGCATCGCGCGCCTCCGCCGCCTCCGCAGCGACTGCCACCTCGCGTGCGGCCGCCGCGGCCTGTTCGGCTGATTCTGCGACCGCCGTCTCCCCCTCCGCCGCTGCTGCGGTCGACGAGTGCTCCTCGAGGGCGCGCACGCACTCGGCGTGGCCCTCTTCCTTGGTCCACTGCAGCGCCGTCTTGCCGTCAACAGTGCGCGCCGCGTCTGCGCCCGCCCGCAGTAAGCGCCGCACGACGGCGGGGTGGTTGAGGAGGGCGGCGTACACCAGCGCGGTGTAGCCTTTGATGTCCTGCAAGTTGACCTCAGCGCCGCGCTGTGTCAGCAAGTCGACCACCCGCTCGTAGCCTTGGCCGGCGGCAGCCATCAGCGCGGTGCCGCCGATGCCGTTCTGCAGGCTGATCTCCGCGCCGTGCCGAATCAGCAGCTCGACCACCCGCTCGTGGCCGTTGTTGGCGGCGCCCATCAGCAGCGTGATACCGCTCACGCCGCCTCTCTCGTACGTCGCGTCGGCCCGCCCGCCGCCCTCAAGCCACTCCAGCACTGCCGCCTCGTCGCCTCGCCGAGCCGCTGCCACGACCGCATCGGAGACTGCCACGCCACCCCTCAACACCGCTGGAGTCAGATTGCCCGGCCGCACCCGCACGCTCTCGCCGCCGCCCTCGAGCGCCACCGCGTACCGCCCGCCCTCGAAGCTCTGCGCCACGCCCCGCTTCCCGTTCAGCTCGGGGCGGGCAGAAAGCCCGCCGAGCACGACTCGCTGTCCGAGCAGCGGCGCGTCCACCGCTGCCGCTGCCGCTGCCGCGCCCGAGGAAGCGCCGCCCGCCTCTGCCCGGCCGTCTGCAGCCGCCGCCTCCGACAAGACCTTGACGCACTCGGCGTGGCCCAGTGCCTTGGCCAGCAGCAGCGCTGTCCAGCCTCTCGCACTGCGCGCTGCCGTGTCAGCGCCCGCCCGCAGCAAGCGGCGCATGACGGCGGGGTGGTTCGAGAAGGCGGCGAGCATCAGCGCGGTGCCGCCGTCGCTGTCCCGCAAGTTGACATCAGCGCCGCGCCGAATGAGCAACTCGACCACCCGCTCGCGGCCTTGGTTGGCGGCGTCCATCAGCGCGGTGCCGCCTCTGCTGCTCTGCTTGTTGATCTCCGCGCCGTGCCGGAGCAGCAGCTCGACCACTCGCTCGTGGCCTTGGAAGGCGGCGAGTATCAGCGCGGTGCCGCCGCCACTCTCCTGCAGGTTCATCTTCGCCCCGCGCCGCAGCAGCAGCTCGACCACCCGCTCGTGGCCGTTGTTGGCGGCGCCCATCAGCAGCGTGAGGCCGCTCACGCCGCCTCTCTCGTACGTCGCGTCGACCCGCCCGCCGCGATCAAGCCACGCCAGCACCGCCTCCTCCTCGCCACGCTCAACCGCTTGCATAAACGCTTCGGAGACTGCCGCGACACCGCTCGACGCCCGCTCCGCCGCCGCCGGCGACAGATTGCCCGGCCGCACCCGCACGCTCTCGCCGCCGCCCTCGAGCGCCACCGCGTACCGCCCGCCCTCGAAGCTCCGCGCCACGCCCCGCTGCCCGTTCAGCTCGGGGCGGGCAGAAAGCCCGCCGAGCACGACTCGCTGTCCGAGCAGCGGCGCGTCCACCGCTGCCGCTGCCGCTGCCGCGCCCGAAGAAGCTCCGCCGGAGGAAGCGCCGCCTGCGCCTTCACCGCCGGCTGCTGTCGCCGTGAGCCGTCCCGCCACCACCTCCTGGACGTGCTTCTTGAAGGCCTCGACGCACTCGGCGTGGCCCTGTGCCTTGGCCCACTGAAGCGCCGTCATGCCGTCCGGAGCGCGCGCCGTCATGTCTGCGCCAGCGCGCAATAAGCGCCGCACGACGGCGGGGTGGTTCAAGAAGGCGGCGTTCATCAGCGCGGTGCCGCCGAGGCTGTTCTGCAGGCTGACCTCAGCGCCGTGCCGAATCAGCAAGTCGACCACCCGCTCGTGGCCTTGGCTGGCAGCGTGCAACAGCGCGGTGCCGCCTCTGCTGTTCTGCAGGCTGACCTCAGCGCCGCGCCGTACCAGCAAGTCGACCACCCGCTCGTGGCCGTTGTTGGCGGCGCCCATCAGCAGCGTGTTGCCGCTCACGCGGCCTCTCTTGTACGTCGCGTCGACCCACCCGCCGCGATCAAGCCACTCCAGAACCGCCGCCTCCTCGCCTTGCTCCGCCGCTAGCACGATCGCGTCGGAGTAGCTCAGGAAGTACGCCCACGCCAACACATCCCACGCAAGATGACCGGGCCGCACCCACACGCTCTCGCCGCCTCCCTCGAGCGCCACCGCGTACCGCCCGCCCTCGAAGCTCTGCGCCACGCCCCGCTTTCCGTTCAGCTCGGGGCGGGCAGAGAGGCCGCCGATCACGACTCGCTTGCCGAGCACCAGCCCGTGGTCGCTTGCCTCTCGTGCATTAGCCCGTCTTGCCACCATTCTTGGGTGTCGTGCAGGCGCCGTCCGGGCAGTTTTTCTTTTTCTTTCAGTCTTCTTTAATCGACAGAGAAAGGCCAAATTACAAATCGCAAACATACAAACCCAAACCAGGCGGTGATGCAATAAAACGAGGCTGCAGGGGGGGGAGAAGGACAGGGTCCCCACCTGTACGAGCAGGATATTGTAAGGACGATAAGGGACGCCGGGGAACGGGAGCGGGGAGCGCATCGCGACACGGAGGGGGCTGGGTAAAAAGAAAGAAAACAGACAAGCCAAGGGAGGGATGGGAGAACGGCACGCCGCCACCACACAGGGATTTTAAGGAGAGGGGTGTGGTGCGCTAGCCGTCGCCCACCCTTGGGCGTCCGCCTCTTCCTATCTCACTTCGCAGTCTCGCTCTCCGATTCTCGCTGCAACCTTCGTGCCACCTCGCGGTCTCCCCCTTCTCGTCGTGCTCTCCCTTGTCGCCTCTTCCTCTGTCGCGTCGCTCTCCTCTGCCTCGTTCTGCGCCGCCGCCGCCGCCTGCCGTTCCCTTGTCCTCTCGGCTTCTTTTGCCTTTCGGCGCAACTCCGTCCTCCTCGCGGCGTATCCTGGCCCCTCGAGTCTATCGAGCTCCCCTCGCGCAAGGACGAGTCTTCTGACGCCCACTGCTATCATTTGCCGCCCAGTCATGTCGTTGCTCAGGTCCACTCTCTCTTCGAACACTTGTGCCTCTACGGATGATGCCGGCGCTGGAGTCCCCTTCGGGTGCATCGTGACATCTGACAACTGGATTTCCACTGGTTCGTCCTCCTCGGAGTCGTCTTCCCCCGCTGCCTTCCGCTCGGCTCTACGTTCGGTACGTTCGGCGTGGCTCACCCTCCATGCCGTGAACAGGCAGGGGGCTGGGTAGGGTTCACCCACTCGCTGTGAATTCTTCCTCTGAGGCTCCTCGCGTACGCCCACGCCGCGACTCGCGCTACTCGTTCCACCGCGCAAGCCCGCGCCGGCTGGCGCATGTCACTCTTCGAGGAGCTGTTTGAGGTCAAGGACACCTCGAGGAAGTTCGACCACGTCGGCCGGCTCCACTGCCGGCTGGCCGAGGAGGGCTACGAGCTGCAGCTCGACCTCGACGTCAACTCGGACCTGCTCGACCTGCAACCGGGGGAGCGTTTCGCTCTGCTGCTCACGTCGACGCTCGACCTCGACGGCGCCGCCGACGCTGGCGTCTACGATCAGTCGGGAAAGCCGTCCCTGCTCGACTCGTACGAGTGAGCGCCACCGCCCGCCGCCGCCGCCGCCGCCGCCGCCGCCGCCGCCGGCTTCGCTCCCTCAGCACCTTCCGCCCGCAGGTACGCCATGTACGGCAAGATATTCAAGTGGAAGCAGGACAACATCAAGGCGCCGATCGAAGTGCAGATCTCGTACGGCGGCCTCCTGATGAGGCTGCGCGGCGACCCGCGGTACTTGCAAAAGCTGACGCTCGACTCGCGCGTCTACTTGCTGCTACGGAAGATTGTGAAGGACTAGGAAGAGGAGAGGAGGCATGCTACGTGTTTTGGAGTTTGCGCCGCGGGAGCGGAGTGTCGGGGGCCTAGGGCCCAGGTAAATTCAGGAGCTCCCGATTGCCGTCTGAGCCCTGCGGGGGCTGGGGCGCTGGCGGCTGGGCCGTCCCGACCTGTTTCCTTGGCGCGCCTTTCGCGGCCCGCGGGAGCGTTTATGTCGAAATGTGCAACAAAAGATAGACAGGCACGGACGTACTGGAAGAGCATCCTTCCTCCTCTCCTCCTACCCTCCCTCCGCTTGTCTACTCAGCTCACATGGGACTCTAGACCGGAGACGAGACGGTTGAACCCCACAAGACGCGTCGCACACAGCCCCCCTCACACAGACGCACACGCCGAGTGTATTGGCCTCTGTCCAATATAGCGGCGCCGCGGCGCGAGCAGCCGCGCCCTCACAGCAGCGCGGGCGGCGTGTTGATGGGCGCCTTGGCATTCTTGACGGCGAGGTCGACGTCGCCGCCGGCGCCCTCGAGCAGCTTCTCGAGGTCTTTGGTCGACAGGTTGGGCAGCCTGAGGAAGAGTCAGGGAAACTTCTCCACGCACCAGGTGGGTGGGCAGAGGGCCGGGCTACCCCTCGCATCTCCACGTCCAAAAGGCAGGAGCCGCTGGGGCATTTACCAGCGCGTGGGAGGTGTGTGTGTGTGTGTGTGTGTGTGTGTGTGTGTGTGTGTGTGTGTGTGTGTGTGTGTGTGTGTGTGTGTGTGTGTGTGTGTGTGTGTGTGTGTGTGTGTGTGTGTGTGTGTGTGTGTGTGTGTGTGTGTGTGTGTGTGTGTGTGTGTGTGTGTGTGTGTGTGTGTGTGTGTGTGTGTGTGTTCGCGCGCGCGTGCGTGCGTACGTGTGTGTGTGTGTCTCCCCACATCTCCCCATCTCTCGAGGCAACCTCGTGCGCAACACGTCGATCTTCGCGTCCTTGGTCGCGGTGCGCACGAGAGCTGGGCTGCCGAGGGCCGCGTGGAGCGTGTCTGGGTTGGCCGCCATCTCGGAGGCGGTCGCTCCCTTCTCAAAGTTTCGCGGCTTCATGATCTCCGACTTGAGCTCCGTGAAGGCGTTCTTGCCCAACTCGGCCTCCACCTCGGCCACCACCACCTCCTCGTCCCCCTTCTCCTCGTCATCGTCGAAGCGCAGCTCGTCCGACTTTTCGTAGGCCTGCTCGTTGGTCAGCATCTTGAGCAGCCAGTTGTGCCCATCGTCGACCATCAGCTGAGTGGACGTCTTCTGCTGGTGCATCGCCGAGAGCATCTTGGAGCGCGCGGTGCTCTCGGCGCCCTTCTTTGGCTCGAGCACCTAAGGGGGAAAAGAAACTTTGACAACAAAGAAATACGGCGCGCTGTCTTTGGCTCGAGCAGCACGTCGAAGTAGATGCAGATGGTCGTGATGGCGCCGCCAAAGACAAAGATGGTGAAGCACGCGATCAACATCGTCGCCTGCATCATCGCGAGCGAGTCAGTGTGCATATCTCCCCGCACCTCCCCACACCTCCCCGCATCTCCCCGCATCTCCCCACATCTCGCCTGCATCATCGCGAGCGAGTCGTTGTGCTCGTTGTCGCTGCAGAAGGGGCTCTCCTGCTTGCGGCAGGGGAGGTATGGGGAGGTACGGGGAGGTACGGGGAGGTACGGGGAGGTATGGGAGGAGGCATGGGGAGGTGTGGAGAGGTATGGGGAGGTATGGGGAAGTATGCGAGAAATGGGGGTGCATGGGGCTCTCCTGCTTGCGCTCGTCGTCGCCGTCGAAGCCGCCGCAAGTGGAGGGGAAGTCCCCTGCGACGTACGACACCGAAGCGAGTGCAAAAGCGACGCCGCCGCGGAGGCCCGAGAACCACATGACAAAGGAGTAGGCGGGCGAGATGGGGGGCGGCTTGGAGGTTGCGTCACGGAAGCAGTTTGTGAGGAAGGAGCCGATGTAGATGTGCAGCCGGCCCACGAAGCAGGCGAGGGTCGCCCAGAAGAAGAAGTGCCACACCGTGTACGTGAAGATGGGGAAGGTGATGGTCGCCATGCCCAGGTAGACAAAGACGAAGGTCTCGGCGATGAGGGCGACCACCTTGTACGCACGCGCCGTCAGCCGCACCGCACGCGGCGAGAAGTTTGGCCGCGTGTACGTTGCCATGACCATCCCGCAGGACATGATGGAGACAATGCCCGACAGCTCGGACGCCTCGGCAACGAAGTAGGCGCACCACGGGAAGACAAAGGAGAGCGCCGCCTCCATGTAGAGCATCTCGTCGTGGTGGCGGAGGTCGAGCAGCTTGAAAGTGAGCGAGGAGAGGATGCCGCCGACGGCGCCGATGAGGAGCGATCCGATGAAGATGATCAGGAAGAGCTTGCCTGCTCCGAGGATGTGCTCGGCGTCGACGGGGTTCTCCGGGTTGTTGAAGGAGAGGAGCGTGCGCGACAGCACGATGGCGACGGCGTCGTTCAGCACGCTCTCTCCAAAGACCATCGAGAACAGATCGATCTTTACGCCCAGCGCCTGGAAGACCGCCAGCACCGTGACCGGGTCCGTCGCGGAGATCAAGGAGCCTAGAGACATCTCCCCATATCTCCCCATACCTCCCCATATCTCCCCAGATCTCCCCAGATCAATGAGCCTAGAGACAGCCCGCCGCAAGTCCGTCGCACAACGAGGCAATGAGGTGGGGGAGCGGGTGCGAGAGAAGACAGACACCGAAAGTCAGCGCGGCGAGCATGCCCAGCGGGTAGCAGAGCCCCATCTGCCCAAACCACCACACGAGCCTACAAACGGGAGCACACCAGCTCGATGCACGCTGAGCACTGTTTGCGGGCGAGAGCGAGAGCACGGTGTTGGGCAGAGTCTTCAGAGCACCGCGTGAATACGAGGGGCGACGGGTACAGCGAAGCCCGCTGAGCCCGGTTGATTACAGCGGAGTCCGTGTCCTCTCTAAGTGCTACTGGGGCGACAAGTCTTGTCTTCCCCCTTCTAGCTGTCCTGTGAGCTGTGTGCTGTGCGTCCAGCAGTCCGGACCCAGTGCTACGTCCGGTGACAGCGCGCCTCGTGTCGGCTGCCGAGCCACTCGCGCGCAGCGTGTGTGTGGAGTGTGGGCCCGTCCTTGGTGCTGCGAGGTGTGTACGACTGGCTGACTGACTGACTTCTAGGCCGCGGAGCCCGAGATATGGGGAGATATGGGGAGATATGGGGAGATATGGGGAGATATGACGTCTAGGCGCACGAGCCCTCCGACAACAAAGGTGGAGGCGAAGGTGCCGATGAAGGCGAAGAAGGCGGTCGGGCAGAGGTTTGCGATGAACGACTGGCGCGTTCATGCAGAGCCGAGATGAGCCGAGAGCAGCCGAGGTGAGCCGAGGTGAGCCGAGGTGAGCCGAGGTGAGCCGAGGTGAGCCGAGGTGAGCCGAGGTGAGCCGAGGTGAGCCGAGGTGAGCCGAGGTGAGCCGAGGTGAGCCGAGGTGAGGAGCCGAGGTGAGCCGAGGTGAGGAGCCGAGGTGAGCCGAGGTGAGCCGAGGTGAAGGTGAGCCGAGGTGAGGAGCCGAGGTGAGCCGAGGTGAGCCGAGGTGAGCCGAGGTGAGCCGAGGTGAGCCGAGGTGAGCCGAGGTGAGCCGAGGTGAGCCGAGGTGAGCCGAGGTGAGGAGCCGAGGTGAGGAGCCGAGGTGAGCCGAGGTGAGGAGCCGAGGTGAGCCGAGGTGAGCCGAGGTGAGCCGAGGTGAGCCGAGGTGAGGAGCCGAGGTGAGCCGAGGTGAGGAGCCGAGGTGAGCCGAGGTGAGGAGCCGAGGTGAGCCGAGGTGAGGAGCCGAGGTGAGCCGAGGTGAGCCGAGGTGAGCCGAGGTGAGCCGAGGTGAGGAGCCGAGGTGAGGAGCCGAGGTGAGCCGAGGTGAGGAGCCGAGGTGAGCCGAGGTGAGCCGAGGTGAGCCGAGGTGAGCCGAGAGGAGGAGCCGAGGTGAGCCGGAGCCGACGCAAGCCTGCACGTTCATGTTGAACCCTGCCTCAAAGATGATGGGCGGCAGCAGCCAGATCATGAAGAACTCAAAGTCGAACTTCTCCTTTTCGAGCAGCCCGTCCGAGTGCGCCATCAGTGCCAGGCCGGAGGCAAACATGCCCACCAGCACTCCGATGGCAGCCTCTGGCAGCCAGTGCAGCTGCGGCGGAAGGAGGGAGGAGGGAGGGAGGAGGTGAGGAGGAGGGGAGGAGGGGAGACACAGCAGCAGCGAGGGGAGAGGAAGTGAGGCGAGGGGTGGAGAGGGCGTCGCCGCGTACACTCGCGTAAGAGGCGGAGGGGGAGAGGGAGCGTGGGGCGGTGAGCCCAGCTCACGTGGATCGACTCGGCCAGGAATCCGAGGATGAAGGTTGCGCCGAGCGCAGCGATCCCGATGACGGTCGCCCACTTTAGCATGATGATCTCCTCCTCCGCCTCCTGCGGCGAAGGGGGGGGCGGGTGGCGGCGGTCGGCTCTCGCGTCCAAGCCACGCCCAAACCGGAGCTCGTCGCCCGACTGCTGCCGAGAGAGAGAGTGCGGACACAGGTAACAGGGCTGTGGCACGCGCCTCCTTCAGCAGCTCCACCTCCTCCTCCGAGAGCGCCTGCGGTGGTGGGAAGAACATAGGGAGGTGGAGCAGCGCAGCGATGCGATCGCGCCTCGTGGTCGCTAGACTGGCACGCACCGCCTCGTGTTCGGACAAATCGCGCCTCGGAGCGGTCTCTAAAGCGGAGCGGAGGTTGCGCGCTTTGGTGGACAGCTTGCCGAGCCACTTTTGATCTCTGGCTGCCTGGGACGCGTCCGCGCCGCCGAGCGCGGCAACGATGGCGAGCGCGCAGAGCGCGCCTCTGCAGCGCATCTGTGTCCCCCCGTTTTTCGGAGGTGGGGGCTTTTCGGCCTGCGGCAAAAAGAAGAAATACACCCGCGCACAGCTAGAGAAGACCTCTGCCCCCGCGGCAAAGTCAAACCACCCCACCACCTACCACCACCTACCACCGCAGAGCAAATATTGTTCCTCAGTTCGGGCCCGCTCAGAGGCGCCCCGCGCCCGTGCGGCGCGCCGAGGCGGCGCCGAGGCCGGCGCCTTGCACCCGGCCCGCGGCCGGCACCGCCTCGCCCCACCACTGACCGCCCTGCGGCCCCTGCGCAGGCGTTCCTTCGACCTCGCTCAGGCGCCGTTCGCGACTCCATGAGCCGCTCAGGACAAACCTGGGCGGTTTGGATACGCGCGTAGTACGTCTCCCACGCTGAGCTAGCAAGATATATCCTCGCTCCCTCAGCACCTTCCGCGGCGAAAAGAGAAAGTCTCCCACGCTGAGCTAGCAAGATATATCCTCGCTCCCTCAGCACCTTCCCCGCGGCGAAAAGAGAAATTAGCTGCGTTGGTCTGTGGTGGCGGCGTGCCGTCCTCCGATCCCATCCTTGGGTTGCGTGGTCTGTTTTCTAATTTCTTTTTTCTTTGTTACTTCGGGCTCTGCGGAGTTACTCTCAGCCTCTTTCTCCTCGTCTTCGACTTCGCCCCCCCACCGCGCTTCACCGCCCCCTGCGCATGTCTTGTCGCCCTAGGGGCTCGGGCCCAGGCCTGAACTCCTCACTGCACTGTTGCAACAAGGGACATTCTGTGTTTGTATCCGCTTTCTCTCTTGAGCACTTGAGCACTGGATAGGGTCGATTCCGCATGGTACGGGACCCCTTCTCTCCTTGTTAGTGCCAGGGTGCCTGACTGAGGGAGGGTGTAGAGGATGTAGAGTGTAGAGCGCTGTAGAGATGTAGAGATGTAGAGATGTAGAGCGCTCTGGAGCGCTGTAGAGCTGTAGAGCTCTACATCCGCCGCGTGACGATGCGGGTGCGTTGTAGAGCGATGTAGAGGCGCTCTACAACGTGAAATCTCTACAACAAACTCTACATCATAACGGCGAACGAGGCACCCGGTCGCTCTCCGACATGAGGCGCGTTGCACTTGCCAGTGCTGCCCTGGCCTTCTGTCTGCCCGCCCAATGGGTGGGAGGTGCCTCTGCTGCTGTGGCATGCCTCACGGCTGCGACTGGCCGGCGCCTCGGCGCGTCAGCTCGGCTCGGCGTAGCGATATAGTGGCCAGCGCAACTCGCCTGGACTCAACGCTCAGCCAGGAGCTCCCGCACGCGCTGGCGCAAGTCAATAGTCATGGCGCATGCAACGCGTCTGAATGATCGCCTCGCCTCGCGCAAATGCGACCGTCCTCGCCGCCGACAGTCCACCGCCTGCTAAAGAAGCACTGCGATGAATGCAGCACCGGCGACGCATGGCAGGCTGGTCATGACGCAGTTATAGGGTGTTGTGTGCCGTCAGAGTGACTCTCTGTGTGTCAGTGATAGTCAGGGCCGTCAATCAGAGCTCCAGTAAGCTCAGAGACACCCCATTAGTGCGACTCGACCTCTTTGAGTCACTGCCTTCCCGGCGGTTCTGCTGTAGAGCCTCTACAACAAACTCTACAGCAAAATCGCGCTCTACATCGCTCTACAACGCACCCGCATCGTCACGCGGCGGATGTAGAGCTCTACAGCTCTACAGCGCTCCAGAGCGCTCTACATCTCTACAGCTCTTCAGTGCTCTGCACTCTACATCCTCCTACACCCTCCCTCAGGCCAGTGCGCGCCAGTCCCGTGCCCAGTCGTGCGAGGGAAGAGAGAGAACTGCGAGGGAGCCTTTTCGTAACATTCTTCCTCCATTCTCTCTCTCTCCCCCCCCCATAGAGCTCTACCGCCGCTGGTGTCCAGTCCGAGCCTGGCTGGGTCCGAAAACAATGGTCCGCCTCGAGCCCGATTCCAGCGGCGCCGAGGCGCCGCTCTACCTCTCGCTCTCCCTTATCGTCCTTACAAGATCCTGCTCGTGCAGGTGGGGACCCTGTCCTTCTCCCCCCCCTGCAGCCTCGTTTTATTGCATCACCGCCTGTGTTTGGGTTTCTATGTTTGCGATTTGTAATTTGGCCTTTTCTCAAGTCTTTTCGAGACTGAAAGAAAAAGAAACACTCGCCGCACGGCGCCTAAGCGCACGGCACCCAACAAGAATGGTGCCAAGACGGGCTAATGCACGAGAGGCAAGCGACCACGGGCTGGTGCTCGGCAAGCGAGTCGTGCTCGGCGGCCTCTCTGCCCGCCCCGAGCTGAACGGAAAGCTGGGCGTGGCGCAGAGCTTCGAGGGCGGGCGGTACGCGGTGGCGCTCGAGGGAGGCGGCGAGAGCGTGCGGGTGCGGCCCGGTCATCTTGCGTGGGATGTGTTGGCGTGGGCGTACTTCCTGAGCTACTCCGACGCGATCGTGCTAGCGGCGGAGCAAGGCGAGGAGGCGGCGGTTCTGGAGTGGCTTGATCGCGGCGGGTGGGTCGACGCGACGTACGAGAGAGGCGAGGTGAGTGGCTTCACGCTGCTGATGACCGCCGCCAACTACGGCCGCGAGCGGGTGGTCGAGCTGCTGCTCCGGCGTGGGGCTGAGATCAACCTGCAGAGCAGCAGAGGCTGCACCGCGCTGATGGCCGCCGCCTTCTACGGCCACGAGCGGGTGGTCGAGCTGCTGATTCGGCACGGCGCTGAGGTCAGCCTGCAGGACAGCAACGGCGGCACCGCGCTGATGAACGCCGCCTTCAACGGCCACGAGCGGGTGGTCGACTTGCTGCTGCAGCACGGCGCGGAGCTCAACCTGCAGAACAGCGAAGGCCGCACCGCGCTGATGAACGCCGCCAGCTTCAACCACCCCGCCGTCGTGCGGCGCTTGCTGCGCGCTGGCGCAGACACGGCGGCGCGCGCTCCGGACGGCATGACGGCGCTTCAGTGGGCCAAGGCACAGGGCCACGCCGAGTGCGTCGAGGCCTTCAAGAAGCACGTCCAGGAGGTGGTGGCGGGACGGCTCACGGCGACAGCAGCCGGCGGTGAAGGCGCAGGCGGCGCTTCCTCCGGCGGAGCTTCCTCGGGCGCGGCAGCGGCAGCGGCAGCGGTGGACGCGCCGCTGCTCGGCCAGCGAGTCGTACTCGCGGGCCTCTCTGCCCGCCCCGAGCTGAACGGG